ACATTAACTGTGTACAAAAGGTAGAAAGTATGGCAGGAGATCACCCTGGATCAACTGGAAGCTCTTATACGATCTAAAAATCAAAGGAATTGTATAAAGTAGAAACTGGGTCAAAATACAAAGGATGAATATAAGCAAACACAGCTATCCAGGGGAAAGATTAGAAAGTATATTAGTAACAAGCAGAAGACCAAGGACAGAGTTGGCCCATTGCTCAGTGAAGAGGGAGAAACAACAGGAAACTTGGAAATGGCAGAGGTGTTTAATGATTTTTGTTCTGGTTTTCATCAAGAAGATGGATCAGGATGGGATGCCTAACCTAGTGAATGCTGGTGTAAATGGGGTCAGTTTAGAAGTTAAAATTTAAAAAATTACTGAAGTTAGATCTCTGCAAGTCACCAGGGCCTGATGAACTGCATCCTAGAATAGTTAAGGAGCATAAAGAGGAGGTATCTGAGCCTAGAGCTATCATCTTTGGAAAATAAGATAAAAAGGGGAATAAGATCAACCCAGGCAACTATAGACCAGTCAGTTTAAATTCTGTGCTAGGGAAGATAATGGAGCAAGTAATTAAGGAATATGTCTGAAAACATCTGGAAGATAAGGTGATAGGTTACAGCCAGCATGGATTTGCAAAGAGCAAATCATGTCAAGCCAATCTGATGGCTTTCTTTGATAGGATACCAAGCCTTGTGAATAAGAGAAAAGCAGTGCATGTGGTATTCCTAGACTTAGTAAGGTATTTGACCCAGTCTTGCATGACCTTATCAATGAACTAGAGTTTAAAGAGAATCTAGATTAAATTCATGGAGGTTAGGTCCGTAAAAGGCTACTAGCCAGGGGGTAGGAATGGTGTCCTTGGCCTCTGTTTGTCAGAGGTTGGAAATGGATGGCACGAGACAAATTACTTGATCATTGTCTTTGGTTCACCCCCTCTGGGGCACTTGGTGCTGGCCACTGTCAGCAGACAGGCTAATGGGCTAGAGATTAAATTCATGGAGGTTAGGTCCGTAAAAGGCTACTAGCCAGGGGGTAGGAATGGTGTCCTTGGCCTCTGTTTGTCAGAGGTTGGAAATGGATGGCACGAGACAAATTACTTGATCATTGTCTTTGGTTCACCCCCTCTGGGGCACTTGGTGCTGGCCACTGTCAGCAGACAGGCTACTGGGCTAGATGGACCTTTGGTCTGACCCAGTATGGCCGTTCTTATGAAAGAGATTTAGGGGTCATAGTGGACAAGTTAAACATGAGTCAACAGTGACACCATTGCAAAAAAAGCAAACATGATTCTGGGATACATTAACAGTGTTGTGAGCAAGACAGGAGAAGTCATTCTTCTGCTCTACTCTGTGCTGATTAAGTCTCAATTGGAATATTATGTCCCGTTCTGGGCACCACACTTCAAGAAAGATGTTGAGAAATTGGAGACGGTCCAGAGAAGAGCAATAAAATGATTAAAGATCTAGAAAACATGAGCTTATGGGGGAAGACTGAAAGAATTGGGCTTCTTTAGTTGAGAAGAGAAGACTGAGAGGGGACATGATAGATAGCGGTTTTCAACTAAAAGAGTGTTACAAAGAGGAGGGAGGAAAAATTGTTCTAGGCCTCTGAGGATAGGATAAGAATCTATGGTCTTAAATTGCAGAAAAAGAAGTTTAAGAATATAAGATTAGCCATAATGGGTCGGCCCAAAGGTTTATCCACCCCAATACCCTGTCTGCTGACAGTGGCCAATGTGAGGTGTCCCAGAGGGAGTGAATCAAACAAGTAATGATCAAGCGATCTCTCTCCTGTGATCCATCCCCCACCCTCTGACAAAAGGAGGCTAGGGACGCCATTTCTTACCCATACTGGCTAATAGCCATTAATGGACTTAACTAGATAAATTAATGGAAGTTCTCTTTTAAACTCTGTTCTAGTTCTAGCCTTCACAACCTCCTCAGGCAAGGAGTTCCACAGATTGGCTATGTGCTGTGTGAAGAAGAACTTTCTGTTTGTTTAAATCCTGCTGCCCATTAATTTCATGTGGTGGCCTCTAGTTCTTATATTATGGGCTAGTTCTTATATTATGGGAACAAGTAAATAACTTTTCCTTATTCACTTTCTCCGCACCTCATGTGGATAAACATATCATTTAACTCACTCTTTGTGCCCATTATGGAAGGTCTGCACAGAACTGCATACTTCAAACCACCTTTGAGTGTGCATGCTTAAAGGGTACACACTAGGGATGTTAGTGTATAGTTGTTTGAATGATTAACCGATAAGCCTGTATCCAAGGATACAGAAGTGGGAGGTGAGGTGGGAGCTGGTGCATGTGGGGAGCTGGCTTTTAAGCTGCTCCAAACAAGTACCAGATCCCGTGGAGCCGCCTGCCCCTTCCCCCTCCTCCCACTCTCCCAGCCATGCTGCTGTCTCTGATAGGAAGAGGCATCAGTGCGGAGGGTGAT